TTCAAAATCGAAATTGAAACAAATTTTATTTAAAACATTTTTTGATAAAAACAATAATTATTGAGATAATTAATTTTGATAGCATACTATTCAGAGGGAAATTAAAATTTCAAGTTAGCAAAAAATTTTATTAACAAACACTGTTCCTGAAGTAATTCTAAACAAATATTGTTAATAAAAATTTTTGATTTGATCAATAATTAAGAACATAGCCTCAAAAAAATTTGTATATATATATTTTTATTGAAAAAATCGTTTTAGAATTTAATTTAGAACAACTTTTGTATGAAATTGTCTGCTGAGAACGAGTGGAGGGGGGAAATCGTGTCATTTTGTTACAAAAGTTCCGTGCCCTAGTAATAATAATAATAATCATAGCGATTTAATAAAAAATATTAAGGAAATTATATATATTTTTGTTCAATAAAAGTAAATCTACTTATTTATTACTATAACACTGGCATTTTGTTATTAATTTATTATCTGAGATGGTACCTCGCAGGGAATTTTTACAATAACACAAAAATCAAATAATAAAAAAACATATATACAGGGCGTCTCTCGATTCAAAAAAAAAACATAACGATAATAATAATTTAAAAATTAACAAAAATGACTAAGAAGGATTCAATTCATTTCTTTTCGTATTAGACTTATTATTATCATTACTAATACTCACTAGTATTTAAACCCCTAGCGTATAAAAGCTTCGTTGTTCTGTGTGTTAATCCAAGATCCACCCTGTATATCTCGTTATGTACACTTAACCTCGACATCTTTGAAAATTTTGAATTTAGGAATGCGCCATTGTAATAATCCTCTTCTTATCTCGTATTAATTTTTAATTCTTCTTATTTTATTAATTTTATTATGTTAATTTCCTCAATAAACTAAAACGTAGGTATCAAAAAGGAGATCCATTGAGTCGTCGAGTTTAAATTTGCTTAATTTTTTTTTGTCGCTTTCATTTATTCCATTAATTTTATTTATTTAATTTAAAAAAAAATTATTTAAGCATTAGACGAATAAATCCGGACCGCTTTTCTAGCTGGGATCGAACAAACCGGGCAAGGATTTTCGTGGATTTCGGTAACCCTGCTGGCGCAATCGCTGCAGAAATAATGATGTCCGCACGGTAACAAAGCATGGGTCACTTTCGCTTCGGTACAAACCAAACATTTCGAGGAGTTTAATAATTGTTCTGATGGAGAAGTACTCGTCGGGGGCGTTTGTCTCGATTGAGTAACAGTTGGATACGTCCAAATACTTGAAAGCGCGTTGTTAGCGTCGTACGTCGGGGATTCCCCGATTCCTTCGTCGCGATCACTTGAACTCCAAATGTTCCCCAAATCGGCTCTTCCGCCGGAACTTGACGAACTCGAAGAAATCGAACCGGAACTAGAAAAAGCCCCCGAACTCCCTGTCGATGAAGTCATCGGAAATGTATCCAAAGGTCCATCCAAATAATTAAAAAGCGAATTTAAGCCACTTTTGTACAACGATCCCAAGATATCTGAAGTAGTCGTATCTTCAATCCCGCCTAAACCCGGTAATCCATTAATCGATGTTCCGTTTCCCGTTCGCATCGCGATGTGGGCTTCGATTTCCCTTTTGGCGGTTTCAACGCTTTCTGGGAGTCCGGTCACTTCGAACACGGGCTCTTTATCTCTGCTTGGTGTCACGATGTAAGTGTGGGTTTGATGCTGAATTCGTTTGATGGTGGCACCTTTTGGACCTACCACTAAACCGACGACGCGGTACGGGACGCGCACTTGAATGGTTACGTGCCCCGGAATGTTGGCCGGAGGACCCGGAGGCGTACTCGTTCCCGATCCCAAACCGGCCAAATTATTCTTCCTCGATGCTCGGATTTGAGAAAAATGTTCGGCCGCTGACAGAATTTCACGTTTGGCTTTTGCTACGTCTTCTTTACGACCTGTTACTACAAACACTGGCTCTTCACCTCTTACTGGGGTTTTTATGTACGTGTTGGTCTTTGCTCGTAATGCTTTTATCTTACAACCTGAAACAAAGAAACAAATTGTTACAATTTTTAATCAATTAGCTTCCAAGAAATGTAAAATATGGAAAATAACATCAATTAAGCGGCCTCTATCATCAACTACATCAATTAAATTTTAATTTTGAATACATTTTTGAATTCTTTGAAGTATTTTAAATAAAAAAATACTGCTTATTAAAAGTTGTATCACAAACCGTTCTCGAGATAGAAATGATTTTGTGCTAACAAACATAAAAAGCCCACAAATTTGGGATACTTTCATTTTACGCCCTATAACTTCAACCACATCGATTAGATTTAAATTTTGAATACATTTTTGAATTCTTTGGAGTATTATAAATAAAAAAGTACTCTTTATTAAAAAGTTTATCACGAACCGTTCTCGAGATAAAAATGATTTTGTGCTAACAAACATAAAAAAAGCGCACAAATTCGGGATACTTTCATTTTACACCCTATAACTTCAACCACATCGATTAGATTTAAATGTTGAATACATTTTTGAATTCTTTGGACTATTTTAAATAAAAAAGTACTGTTTATTAAAAGTTGTATCACGAACCATTCTCGAGATAAAAATGATTTTGTGTTAACAAGCATAAAAAGCCCACATATTCAAGATATCTTCATTTAAGCCCTATAACTTCTACCATATCGATTAGATTTAAATTTTGTATGCATTTTTGAATTCTTTGGAGTATTTTGAATACAAAAGTACTCTTTATTAAAAGTCTTATCACGAACCGTTCTCGAGATAAAAATGATTTTGTGCTAACAAACATAAAAAACCCACAAATTCGGGATACTTTCATTTTACGTCCTATAACTTCAACCACATCAATTAGATTTAAATTTTGAATACATTTTAGAATTCTTTGGACTATTTTAAATAAAAAAGTACTGTTTATTAAAAGTTGTATCACGAACCGTTCTCGAGATAAAAATGATTTTGTGTTAACAAGCATAAAAACTCCAAAAATTCAGGATACCTTCATTTAAGCCCTATAACTTCTACCATACCGATTAGATTTAAATTTTGAATACATTTTTGAATTCTTTGGAGTATTTTGAATAAAAAAGTACTGTGTATTAAAAGTCTTATCAAGAACCGTTCACGAGATAAAAATGATTTTGTGCTAACAAACATAAAAAACCCACAAATTCGGGATACTTTCATTTTACGACCTATAACTTCTACCGCATCGATTAAATTTAAATTTTGAATACATTTTTGAATTCTTTGAAGAATTTTAAATAAAAAAGTACTCTTTATTAAAAGTCTTATCACGAACCGTTCTCGAGATAAAAATGATTTTGTGCTAACAAGCATAAAAAGCCCGCAAATGCAGGATACCTTCATTTAAGCCCTATAACTTCTACCATACCGATTAGATTTAAATTTTGAATACATTTTTGAATTCTTTAGAGTATTTTGAATACAAAAGTACTCTTTATTAAAAGTCTTATCACGAACCGTTCTCGAGATAAAAATTATTTTGTGCTAACAAACATAAAAAACCCACAAATTCGGGATACTTTCATTTTACAACCTATAACTTCTACCGCATCGATTAAATTTAAATTTTGAATGCATTTTTGAATTCTTTGGACTATTTTAAATAAAAAAGTACTCGTTATTAAAAGTTGTATCACAAACCGTTCTCAAGATAACAATGATTTTGTGCTAACAAACATAATAACCCCATAAATTCAGGATACCTTCATTTAAGCCTTATAATATCTATCACATAGATTAAATTTAAATTTGGAATGCATTTTCGAATTCTTTGAAGTATTTTAAATAAAAAAGTACTGTTTATTAAAAGTTGTATCACGAACCATTCTCGAGATAAAAATGATTTTGTGTTAACAAGCATAAAAAGCCCACATATTCAAGATATCTTCATTTAAGCCCTATAACTTCTACCATATCGATTAGATTTAAATTTTGTATGCATTTTTGAATTCTTTGGAGTATTTTGAATACAAAAGTACTCTTTATTAAAAGTCTTATCACGAACCGTTCTCGAGATAAAAATGATTTTGTGCTAACAAACATAAAAAACCCACAAATTCGGGATACTTTCATTTTACGTCCTATAACTTCAACCACATCAATTAGATTTAAATTTTGAATACATTTTAGAATTCTTTGGACTATTTTAAATAAAAAAGTACTGTTTATTAAAAGTTGTATCACGAACCGTTCTCGAGATAAAAATGATTTTGTGTTAACAAGCATAAAAACTCCAAAAATTCAGGATACCTTCATTTAAGCCCTATAACTTCTACCATACCGATTAGATTTAAATTTTGAATACATTTTTGAATTCTTTGGAGTATTTTGAATAAAAAAGTACTCTGTATTAAAAGTCTTATCAAGAACCGTTCACGAGATAAAAATGATTTTGTGCTAACAAACATAAAAAGCCCACAAATTCGAGATATTTTCATTTTACGCCCTGTAACTTCAACCACATCAATTAGATTTAAATTTTGAATACATTTTTGAATTCTTTGGAGTATTTTGAATACAAAAGTACTCTTTATTAAAAGTCTTATCACGAACCGTTCTCGGGATAAAAATGATTTTGTGCTAACAAACATAAAAAGCCCACAAATTCAGGATACCTTCATTTAAGCCCTATAACTTCTACCATACCGATTAGATTTAAATTTTGAATACATTTTTGAATTCTTTGGAGTATTTTGAATAAAAAAGTACTGTGTATTAAAAGTCTTATCAAGAACCGTTCACGAGATAAAAATGATTTTGTGCTAACAAACATAAAAAACCCACAAATTCGGGATACTTTCATTTTACGACCTATAACTTCTACCGCATCGATTAAATTTAAATTTTGAATACATTTTTGAATTCTTTGAAGAATTTTAAATAAAAAAGTACTCTTTATTAAAAGTCTTATCACGAACCGTTCTCGAGATAAAAATGATTTTGTGCTAACAAGCATAAAAAGCCCGCAAATGCAGGATACCTTCATTTAAGCCCTATAACTTCTACCATACCGATTAGATTTAAATTTTGAATACATTTTTGAATTCTCTGGACTATTTTAAATAAAAAAGTACTCTTTATTAAAAACTGTATCATGAACCGTTTTCAAAATAAAAATGATTTTGTGTTAACAAGCATAAAAAACCCGCAAATTCGGGATACTTTCATTTTACACCCTATAACTTCAACCACATCGATTATATTTCAATTTTGAATACATTTTTGAATTCTTTAGAGTATTTTGAATACAAAAGTACTCTTTATTAAAAGTCTTATCACGAACCGTTCTCGAGATAAAAATGATTTTGTGCTAACAAACATAAAAAAAGCCCACAAATTCAGGATACCTTCATTTAAGCCCTATAACTTCTACCATACCGATTAGATTTCAATTTTGAATGCATTTTTGAATTGTATGGAATATTTTAAATAAAAAAGGTACTCTTTATTAAAAGTCTTATCACGAACCGTTCTCGAGATAAAAATGATTTTGTGCTAACAAACATAAAAAGCTCACAAATTCGGGATACTTTCATTTTACACACTATAACTTCAACCACATCGATTAAATTTAAATTTTGAATATATTTTTGAATTCTTTGAAGTATTTTAAATAAAAAACTACTTTTTATTAAAAGTTATATCACAAATCTGTATCAAGATAAAAATGATTTTGTATTAATAAACATTCAAAATACTTTGAACTTAAAAAATTCATACAAATCGTAATGGGGGGAAATAACGAATGAGTGCCATATCAAGATAAAGCTAAAAGTAAGCTTTTTAAGATAAAGTATTAAAAACGTGGTGTACGTTGGAAAATTTTGACGAAATTTCTCAAAAAAGTAGTTTTTATTTTGACGTATTAAAAACGTCAAGTTTCTTTTTCAATTTTTTTTTTTAATTTTTATAATATAACCCAACATTTTTGATGCATTGATTTAAAGAGGAATGTTTTAGCTTTATTTTAATACCAAGATCGTTAAATAATTTGCATAAATAAACCATCCACAGCGATTTAAATTTAAAGTTTCTTTTTGATTTTGACGTTTCAATAAAGTTAAGATTATTTATCTATAATTTTTTATAAGCTAACCCAATACGTTTTATACATCATTTTAAAGAAGAAATCTTTATCTTTAATTTGAGATCAAAATCACTTCTTCATTTTCATAGATAACCCAACAGGGATAGTTTAAATTTCTATCTGTATTTTGATATTTTGGGGTTAAGTTGAAAGCAAAAACTCCTCCTTGTTTTTTCAAAAAAAATTTATAATTCAACCCAACATTTTTGATGCATTAATTTAAAAAGGAATGTTTTAGCTTTATTTTAATACCCAGATTATAAATAACTCAACAAAGATATTTCAATTTTCTTCTTGATTCTTTTTCTTCAACTTTTTATTACTCATCATTTTAAAGAAGAAATCTTTTTTCCCACATTAATTTTCGTCCAATTTGGTTAAATTTCCAAAGATCTTCTCAAATAAATAATAGATTCGTCCAGATGTTACAAATTCTATGCCCTACATAATTGAAGCGATTCTCGAACAAATCGATAACTGCCAGCCAGTTAGCTAACAATCCTCTTACGATAATAGTACGGAGGTATTATAAAGTAGTAGGACAATGAAATTGGATTTAAATTAACCAGGGGTTGAATTAGAAGCGAAAATAGAGATTGAATTGACGTGAAATGATCGAGTGCGTACAAAGAAGACGAGGACGAATCCAAAGTTGGCGCAATTCTAAACGTTCCACGATGGACCATTATTATTAGACCGGGCGGCATTTACCCGCTGCTTGGTCTTCTAGTTATTTCTAGACCCCGGTCGATGGCTGGATTTCTGTAACGCGGTAGAACGAGACAACGCCAGAGACGATCGAACAACAACCGAGGTTCTTTGGAGAGACTCCAAGCATGTTGACATTTTCGTCACTGTTCCAACGGGAAATGCACACTCAAACATTTTTTTATTAAA